AGATTAGAGCTCGAGAACTGATTTGCGGGCCAATTTTACATTTTTCACCATATCCACAGAACAAATTGATGGAATTTCTTGAAATTTGATATTTGAGTTCTGGTTGTTACCCAAACTAACTGGCGAGGGAATTCGGGTAGCACAAAGCGAAACTCTACTAAGATCCAAATTTACATTTTTCTAAGTATGTTAACTATAAGCTTAATAATGTCCTAAAAATTGGAAAGATGTATTTCACAGATATTTTTATAATATTCTGTAACACTTTCATTTAACTAGACAATACACAATGCGGTCGGTTATGTGCTGACCACATCAGATTTTTTTTTTTTGCAATTCTTTGTTCAAGTATTTTTAATATTTAATCGTCATCTTTTCTATCTATTTCACTTAAATAAAAATATAATTTGTATGTTTTTTTCTATCTTGATATACAGATTATGTGTGTAGAACTCGGTAATATGTGTGTATGTTAAAATCAGAACGCAGTTTTATCTTATTACCTATACTTAAATTTTTTTTTTTTTTTGCCAAAAAGTGAAATTTCTTAAGCTTTTATTTATATTACAATATATTAAATCGAAAATATTGCGTTTTGATTTATTATTTACAATTATTGAGTTCCAATCTAATATCGTATATAAAACAAATATGAAACGTAAAATCTTTACAATATTGGAATTCTCATTATACCTATTTATGTACATACATATGTATGTTACAATATATTAGAAAATGTAAATTCTAATAATTTAATATTATTAAAGGTATAAACAAAATAATAAATAATTCTTCCGAATAAACAATTAAATGGTAGTATAAAAGCCAATAATACCATAATAATAATCACCATCACATGATATAAAAATTCTTAAAATTCAAATATCCCAAATTTTTCTAAAAATTAAATTTTACTACTCGTATGTCTAAGAATAAATATCATACCTTGATTAATTACAAAAAATTCAATTACTTTTTATCAATTTGTCAATTAAATAACATTTAAGAGGTGATTTATAAATTTACTTTTCAGTATGTTTAATATCAAAGCATTTTAAATACAAGGATTAACAAATTTTCTTTGATTAATTTTAATTTGATAAAATTATTTTCATGTTTTTCTTTTACAGATCTTTAATTGTTTTTCTCTCAATATAACAAAAATTTCAATCCTATTTAAAAAAAGATCATTTTGTACCTCATACAATCATGTAAATAAAATAATGAATTCATTCTTTAATAATAATAAAATTAAATATGTATGTATACAAATTAAATTTGTTAATCAAATATACAAATCACTTAAAATTTTGCATTCATTCTTCACAAAATCTAATTAATCATCACAAAAATTATTTGTTTACATTTATTTAAAAAAAATATTTAATTGATTAATTGAATAACAATTATTGTGGAAATTCCTTTATCAAATTAAAATTTTTATATGTAAATATGTACTCAAAAACAAACACTAAACTTTGTATTTATGTATATGTCAAGGAATATTTTGTACAATATATTAAGTTTTACATACATATGTACTTATATTAACATATTTTTTCTATTAATAGTGTAATGCGTATAGTGTTATAAGAAAAAACAAAATATAAATTTTGCAATTACACAAACAGATTTTTTTTTAATTTAAGTAGGTAACGTACATTTATTATAGTCTTTTGTAAAATCAATTCATCACCCACCAAATATTTGAACGTATTTAGTAGATACAATTTACTTATAAGCACTGAAATTTCTTTAAAAAAGAAAATATTTAGAGAGCATTATTAAAAAAAAATACTCACTAATAACAATATCTACACTTATATAGCCGTAAAAAAATATACATAACAATATTATATACATAGTATGTACACTATGTATAGAAGAATTTAAATACTTTTGCATGTGTGTATATAATTACGGATAACATTTAAAAAGCGCTACGCGAAATAACCGACTAAAAAGAAAAAAAATTATTTTTCTAGGTCAAAATATCGCGAAACTCTTTGTATTTCAAATACATAGAAAAAAAAAATTTGCAAAAAAATTTTTTTTTTATTTTTCTTATTTATTTGTTATTAAATAGAAAAAAAAAATATTAAGAAAACTTGCTGAATATTAATGCAAAACTTAAAAAATTTGCGAAATATTTTAAAAAAGTTTCGAAATTTCGCGTGCAAAAATCAAAATATAAATAAGTATGTATGTGGGTATGTATGTATTAAAAATAAAAGTAATTTTTATTTTGGCTTTTCTTTTTTAGAAAGTAGATCTAATTATTGTTTTAGACTATTATTATTGTTATACAAATAAATATATAGAGAAAATGACATGATAAATGAATAAGAAAATTTCATTAAATTGTGTAAAAGAAAATAAAAGAAATTCTTTTATAAGTATAAGTACCGATATTGAGAATAATCTCTCTTCAAAATTTATAAAATTAACTAACATAACTGAAATATTGACTTATCTCAATAAAAAAGATTTGGCAATAAAACCTAAAGACAAAACGCCATATTATAATTTATAGAAATTAAAAATTGTCTGGAAATGTTTTCTGTTTCTTGAATTTGATTTTGAAATATGTATGATTAAATTAAGAAGATTATCAGATTATTTATTAAATGCCATTATAAATTTTTAGGGAAAATATAATTTTTCGGATTCTAGGTCTCATAGATCACTATATGAAAACGCCATAAGTCACCATATATTATTAAAACGCTGTGCTTGCTATATTTTATGTTAATAAACAAAATGACAAATAACAATAAATATGACGAAAAATTTGTCATATTTATTGTCAACAATAAATATGACAAATTTTTCGCGTACTATATTATAAGCGGCAGTGTAAAACTATATGAACTGTTTTGATTTTATAGAATCATTAATATATTGAATTATTGTTTTACAATATTGTGTTTATGAAAATCTCTTTAATGATCTCGTTTTGTTAAATATGGCAACATATCGACATCGTTCTTCCCTAAATCTAAAAATTTTTGGAATTTTGCAACTTTTTTGTTTTTAAATTCCCGCAGCCAAAAAATACTTGTTGGAAACTCTACTTTAAAAAATTTATTTTTTTTATTATAAAGTTCATACAAATTATTCGCTTCGCATTGAAATCTACCTCATTTTTTTCCAATTTCATTATATTGAATGACTCAATTTAATAAGGAATTTACAAAAATAATAAAAAATTTAAAACAATTAAAAATGTAATTGCTTATATCTGGTACATTTATCATGTACTTATGTAGTACAAAAAAAAAAAAAAATAATAGCAAAATAATAATTATCTTTAAATGACGTGTAAGTAGAATTCTTAAAATATATCTAGTTGGTAGGTATAGGTAACCAGTACAAGCGGTACAATATAAGTATGTACATACTAAAAGATCAAATATGTACATTACAATGTTTGAACAATTCGAATAAATTCTAGATATACCCGTACTGCAATATTTTCATTATTTATTTTTAAAAAAATACATAGGTATGAATATTATGTAAATAAATTACCAATATGAAGCTAGCATCAACGTAATACTTAAAATTAAAAAATAAAGCTAAATTAAAATTTGAGCAAAATTTTAAAATTTTAAGCAGTCATTATCTTTATCTTTCATTTTTAATTTTGTACATCAATATGTACTTTCTTTGCACACACGTGAATACTTATTTATTTTTTAAATAAACAGATTTCCTAGTTCTAAGGGGAAAAATACAATACTCTCTCACTACACGACTGTTTTTCCAATAATTTTAAATGTACTTGCTTTTATAATTTCAAATTTTAAGTGTTTTAATAAAAACTAAATAACACAGAATATTATATTTCAATTTCTATTCTTTTTTGTACATGATTGTAATTAATTTTTAGCAAAAGAAAACAAGGGACATCTGGTAACTCAAACAGAAACATCTTATAATTTTTATTATGTTAGTGTTTATAAAAATTTCTATTGAGCGAGATTCAATGTAGGTGAAATTATTCAAAGTATTTGTGCATTCATTGCTTGTTCCATTACTATAAAATATAATAATATAATCTAATAGAAATTGAAATGGAAATGCATTTAGAGCATGAATATTTTTTTTATATCCACATTCCTTTTAGTTATTCTAATACGTTTGTAAACATAGAGGCAAGTAGGAAGATAAAAATTACATATGTAGAGAAATCTAAGTTTTCATAAGATGTATATGTATGTATGTATGGATGCATGTATGTATGTAAGTATGTATGTATGAAAATGTAAATATATACTTCAATAAGTAATTTGTACATATATTTATGTAGGTATATTTAGGTATGTAAATATTTAATTTTATTTGTAAATATAACATTTTATCCCCTATAATCTATATTATATTATTATAAATAAAAATTAATACAAATCCAAATAAAATAAAAAATTTTAACTAATTTAGGTCATGAGGCGGTAGGTACGGTGGGTCGTAGGTGCGATTTACCTTCGTCTTTTAAATAATTTAAAAATTATTTTTAATTTTGAATAAAAAATTTAATTAAATTGGTGTAAGCAATATTTATGTACTTATACTATTAACCAATTAATTAAAGTTATTTGTTTGGAAAAAAGCTTTGTTAAATTAATTTCGATCAGTTTCCAAATCTAATATGTTTAATTAAATTTGTAAATTCTTAATTTTCAACAAGTTATGTAGACATATTTACATACATACCTCCATGCTACCAAATAAAAATATTTATTGAACCTTTTTTATACATACATATAATTATTTATTACACTTTCTTATTTATTGTGAAAGAAAATCTATTCAATCTGCATTATACGTACATACATACATATATTATGGTAGAGCTTTGCAATTTTTTGTAATTTAAGTTTACTTCAAATTGATCGTGGCACTTTTTTTTTTTTTGTTATTTTTGTTGCCATGGCTTTGGCAAATTTCAGAAAACTGTAATGCACATATTTTATATGTATGTAATTTAATATTCTTACCTAAATATTTTTAAAACATTTTTTTTTTTTGTAATTGTGTAAATATATTCCGTTTACATAAAAAAAAAATTAAAACATACTATGTAGATTAAAAAAAATGTATGTATTATTTTTTTTATAAAAGAAATCCGTACCAATTTTAAGTTTCACTTTAAAGCTTTCAGTACCGCGATATCTAAATTTCAACTGGACTCTATTTAAAATTGCATTAATTTTGTAATGGCATTTCAAATTTGTTGACATTTCAATATTGTTTTAATACAAAGCTAAAAAGTTCAATTTTGACATTTGGATATTTTGTATGACACTGGCGATAAAATGTTGCCCAATCTTACACAACCAATTCGGTAAGATAGAAGAATACAAGAAAAAACATATAGATATATTTTAACAAGGTTGTGCAATGTCCACACACCAAGTTTTCGTTATAAGTTCTACCAAAAAAATTTTCACGAACAAAATAAATTTTCTATTTAATGCGAATTTTTAAATTTAAACTTAAAGAGTTTTTGATGAACCTTTTCAGAAAAAGAAAATCTAATGTTAATGTCATCAATAACAATTTTTTCCTTCACGAATTATAGTTCATAGCAATACTATTTGTTCAGCTTCCTTTTGATTTTAATAAAATTGTCAACTTTCTATGAAAAATAGGCTTTCTATCTAGTTGGTTCCTTGTCAAACAAAATGTAAACCGACATGGTTCAAGCTCAATATTCAAATTTCAAAATATTTGAGGAACATATCCAAAAACGACTCAACTTTATGTCAATTTAACACAAGTAAATCTACATTTTGAATCATATACGTCTACTGGATAGTATAAATAATAAATTTCCTATGAAATTACTTTTAATATTGCACAATTTTATTTGTTATACATTATATAGTAACTAGTTATGTATAACGCGAAAAAATTTCACTCTTACAAAATATAAACTTATTGGGTAGAATAAGTTAATTATGTATAATAGAATAAAAATAGCTAGTCTTATATGTTTTTTATATAAAAAAGTGAAGCTAAAATATAGTCACATTGTTTTTGACAAATAAAAATGTTGATTTTCATATTGTCATGTCTGCAAAACATAGAAAAGCTATGGGAAAGTGAAAATAAAACTTCTATTTGAAATATTTAATTTTAATTATTTGTATAATTTAAAAAAAAGAATTGTATAAACTAAAATACAAAAGTAAAAGATTGTACTTAAAGATTAGATAAATTATTTGAAGTAAAAAATATAACAAGGTAATAAAGTTAATTATAATACAGATTACGCAAACCAAATCATATCAAATGAAAGCATAAAGAAAATGAAAGATACAAAAGATCAAAGAAATTATTTACCAGAAACATGTATAAACTTCGTTAAACTTTAAAGAACAACTTTTTTTAATCTAAAAATATTTATCACTTATGTCCATAATGTAAACGCTCGGCGAAAAGTATAAAGTTAAAATTTACGAATATGTGTGGCATGTAGTTAAAGAGTTAATGTCAAAACCATTTTCAAATTTTTATTACATACATGATATTCAAATAACAAATCTATCAAATTCTTATTTTTGTTACTTGGTAATGTTATGTGGGAATCATAATAGAAAAAGAGGAATAAAGTGCATTTTTTAAACATTCAATAACTATGTATAAATAGTAAATAATTTTTTGTGTTTAAAATTTAAGATATCAAACTCATTGTATAATATTTCTAAAATAAGTTAGGTATTAACATAAACAATGAATATATTGAAAGCAATTGATGAAAATGTTAAGCACATGGATTTGATAACAAGGTAGTATATAGTAACTTTTTAAGGTAATTTTTTATAAATAACTTATGATATCATTTTCATCAATAATATTTATAGGCCGAATGCTACACCAGGACTTTGGTTATGTTTATTACTGCCATTTGCTTATTTATCAAATACTTTTAGAAATCCATATAGCTCTCAAACTTTCGAGTACAAAATGACTAGATTAGCATCAATTGGATTATGTATGCAATCAGTTAATTTTTTTTTGTATGTCATTTTCGGCGGCCGTCGTTTTGTAAGAATGATACTCTCTTTTGTACCTGGATTTTTTACAGCAGCATTATTTTGTAAATTTTTACATCAAAACCTTAGTGTTAGCCTCTTTTGGGGTCATTTATATTGCATATCTTATCAATACGCATTTATAAAATTTATTCGAAAATTACCAAAGTGCTTTACACTTGGGGAAGCAGCTCTTGTTTCTCAGGGTTTTACTTTGTACCTTTTTACAACGATTCTTCAGATTCCATATTTCATAACAAACCCAGCACACGATGATTTCAACAAAATGAATTCTATTATGATGGTGAGTTTAAAAACTTTTGGCATTATTATATTTGACTACTTTTAATTTCAGGAAGGTATAATTTGTGTATTAATTTTCGTTTGGATTGTATCTACAATAAAAATTTTCCAGAAAACTATTTTATTTTATTTTTTGTTACTGTTTTTCATTTGCATTATATTTTGCATACCAGTAACACCAGACCTACCAATTGTGGAAGTGTTAAATTTTATATTATCTGATTCAAGAAGAGTACGTTAATTTCTTTGTGTTTAAGTTTTATTATATTTTTTAAATAAATATCTTTTACAGATTTTCATAATTATATTCTACTGTGGAATGACAGGTTTAAGTATTGCTACTGTTGCATGGCAAGTCAATAAATCAGAAAAAGCTACGACATCGGTTCGTAAAATATTTCACTTTTTATTAGTTGTTGTGTACATACCGGGTCTTCTCTACCAATGTACTTTTTTATATATATCTACTGGAGTAGCTTTCTGTGCAATTATTTTACTAGAATTTATGCGCGTGTTTGAAATATATCCTTTTGATAAAATTTTGAAACAATCGTTTAATGTATTTGCCGATGAAAAAGATGCTGGTAGCGTAGCCTTAACACCATTTTATTTACTGGTTGGTTGCTCTGCACCTTTATGGATAAATTCTAGTACATGTGGAGTTGACAATAATTTTATTGCTCCAAATAGTTTATTAATCTTAATATCTGGAGTGTTAACTGTTGGTATTGGTGATACAGCGGCAAGTGTATTTGGGTCAAAGCTTGGACGGCATAAATTACCAAGTAAAAATTTTATTTTATTACTTAGTATTGCTAATTTAGGAATGAAATTATGTTTTTAGATTCAGAAAAATCATTTGAAGGATTAATTGCTAACATAATATTACAAGGACTTACAGTGGCCCAACTATTTTCTTTAAATTTAGTTGTTTTAAATAATATTCAGATTTCATTAACGGCAGCCTCTATAATATTTGTAGCAGTTATAGAAGCCTACACTGACCAAGTAGACAATATAGTCCTTCCTTTAGTATTTTTTATTTTAGCTAATTTTATATGATTAAATTTATAATTTTAATTGTTAAACTGTTAAACCGAATTTTGATTGTTATACCTACGTAATTTATAGTAAAATAAAATTACTTCAAGTATTAAATGGGTACTCTTTTTGAAACAAAAATGTAGAGGGTATAACAAAATTCTTCCATAATTCTCATAACCAAAATCAATGTTTTCTGCTTCAGCTATTAAATAGTTTATCATATTGAACTTTTGAACAGTGAACCTCCAACTACAATTTAAAATAATATTAAAATAAAAGTTTTTTGTTTATAGAAATTTCAAATTTATTGACATTTAATGTTTTGTCATATTTGAAAATTTTTGATGCCTAAAAAATTAACTTATTCTGCATCTTCTTCATCATCATCATTTGAACTTATTCTGAAGTAGCGAAGTTCGTAACTGTCTTTTTCATTTGCTACAACTCGAATCCAATCACGCAAACTATTTTTCTTAAGATATTTCTTTGTTAAATATTTTAGGTAACGTTTTGAAAAATGAACATCAGAATTAACATAAACTTTCATCTTCTGCCTTTCTAAATTCACATTGTTTCCAAGATTGTTCACTTTGCCATTAACCTTTATACGACTTTTTAAATATTTTTCCTAGAAATAAGAAAGTATAAAATTTTTTTAAACATTTTCTATTACCTGAAATTTATACATACTAATTTAGTTTTAAAATTTCTGACTATTTGCGTGGGTTAAATCGAAATTTATTGATTCAACTAAGATGCTTTTTTAACACAAGTATTTAAATTTATATTTTGGGAACTGAAAATTTATACACATATGCATATTTCAGAACTTATAAAAATTCGAAATATGTATGTAATTTCATACCCTCAATAAAGAAAACTTATTCGGGTATGTAATATACATATTAAAAACTACGTTGAAAATTTCGATTTATCTCTCTGCCAACTTAAACTAAGAGAGAAAAGTGTTAAACCAACTGGTTAACTTACTTTCAAATTTCCGCAATTTATCAAAAAGCTTATTATTAAAAAAAATTACAACATCGAGTTATTCCTCCTACCATTGCGATGCATCAGACAAAAAAAAAGACAGTTACAGTACTGGGTTACACCGTATGGTTTACATAACCGATCAGTACCTACCCTGTCTTTTTTGTTTAATCGAAGAGGAGTTCATCAACGATTATAAAATAAACCTTTTCTCTCACTGTTAATGTTCGAATGCCGAGTTCATAGTAATGCGTAAAACTGGAAACTAAATTTACTTACAAAATCAGCGACATCCATAATATTATCTTCAACGATATTAGTGCAATCAATGCCGAATCTTAAATTAACTTTCTTTTTCTTAAGTCCTTTCCCGCGAAGAACATTTTTTTTAACAACACGCCCTTTGCCTGCGGCAGCTGCTGCAGCAGCTACAACACCTTTCCTAGCAGGTTTGGCGGCAGCTGGTTTTGGAGCGACGGCTTTGTGGGGTTTATCTGCTTTTGGTTTCTCTTCTTTCTTCGGTGCATCAGCAGCTGGCGCAGGTTGAGCAGGTTTTGGAGCTTCCTTCTTTGCAGGGGCTGCAGTTTTCGCTGGCGCTGGTTTGGCTGCAGCTACTTTTGCTGGAGCTGCTTTCTTTTGTTCTGGTGCTGCTTTTGCATTTTTAGCATCTTTAGCGGGAGCTGCATCTTTTTTGGCAGCTGGAGCAGCTTTCTTTGCGTCTTTAGCTGGTGCTTGTTTTGGAGCTGGAGCAGCTTTAGAATCTTTAGGAGCTGCCTTTGTTGCTGCAGCTGCTGTTTTTACCGCCGCTGTGGCAGTTGCTTTTTTTGCTTCCTTAGCAGCTGGAGTTGGTTTGGCCTCTGCTTTGGGTTTTTCTACTTTTCCTTTAGCAGTTTTATCGCCACCAGCTTTTGGCTTTTCAGTGGATTTAGCTTTCTGATCAGGTTTACTTGGTTTTGCCTAAAACATTGAAGTAATTGTAATGAATAATCTTAAAATATATTAAAAATCACTCATTAATTTTATATAAATATTAACTAAATATATTTAATAGGTTTGTGTTAATGATTCGTTACTTTTATTTTTAACAAAACGCGGGTATTAATTTCAACAATTCTAAATTTCTATAACACATACCGTTGGTGCCATGTTTGCTTCGCAAAAGCACTTTTGTAAAAGAACATATTAGAGTCATGTCATTGTCAAAATAAACTTTTTTCATGTTAAATGACAACGTTGTCAAAATAAAAATTTTTATGTTGCCAAATTGATAAGTTCTTCCATATATATTTTGTAAGCCATATTTGAGTTGTTATAAAGTTTCAAGAGTACAAAAGATGTGATAATGAATGCAGCTTTAATTTCAAATTGTTTCTAGTCAGTTGTGAAGGTCAGAAACTATTCAATTCTAAAACAAAATTGTGTAAGAAAATCAATATGTTCTATAATAGTCGTTAATTAGATGGATATGATTAACTATTATTCTTTATTTTTTAAGAGTTGGTATTTATTTGGCCCTTGGTTCGAATTTTCTGACAATTTTTTACACAAACAACATTATTTGCCCTAAACACAAAACTTCAAAACTACAAAATTTGATAGCTGATACTACCAAAATAAATAAAATATGGGAGACAGTAACTGGAAAAATAGAAAATAAACTAGTTTTGAAGTTGCAGTTTCATTGTGTGCAATCCCATTTAATAACCCAAAAGCTACATTTTTTTGAAATTGTCAAATTTTGCAATTTGAAGTTCTACCTCATTGTATTCTCACTGTATTCAGGACATTAAAAATTTTTCTCCTAATAGTTCGGTTAAAGGCACAAACCATACAAAAACAATCATAACAAAATATTTTTCTTTTCTGACCTTGAAAAAAGTGAAACATCTGACAGATGCTTTTTGTTAATATTATTTCCTTTCATAACATACTGATCCAACATAAAGCTAACTTTAACTGACGTCTTATTTATATATTAAATTCATTCCATATATTAATTATTTTGGGTCTAAACACTTATGTTTTTTAGTTTAACACAACCTTTTTGAATATTGTATGTCAAATTTAGTACTAATTTTAGAAATAATTTCTATAATATTCGAAAGATGTCATATGTGCTGAAATGAATAAGATGTTTTGAATGTCATGCAAAGTGCTGCCATCGTAGCACAGTGCAAAAATTGTGAAAGCAATTTATAAAAAGCTAGGTAAATTTTATTCCGCAGCAAAAATTTATTCGGAAAGAAATAAAACAATTAAAAAACGCATTTAATTAATAAATATTTTTTCAAGTTAAAAAAATTTAACTAAACAAATTTTCGATTAAACGAATAGTTGAAAGGAAAAATTAATCGAAACCTTAATTCTACTTTAAACACAAAACAAAGGAAAAAAAATGAAATTTCAATACAAGGAAGAGCACCCGTTTGAGAAAAGACGAGCAGAAGGTGACAAAATTCGACGAAAATATCCAGATCGAGTACCAGTATGTATTTTTTGATTTTCATTTTAATTATTTACTTTAAATATATTTAAATAAATTTTTTTTTAAAAACATAAAACCAAAATGGTGGAACTTTTTCATAAAACAGAAAAGCTCTTTAAATGTATAGGCAAAGGGGATAATTGAATATTTTCAGCTGATTCAAGTTTATGTACCTATATATGAAATACATTTTGTTTTACCAATACAATTCATTAATTACGTTTTTTATGCTTGAGATTTCATAACAAGTAAAATGATATAAATTAAAATAGTCAAGCAGAGGGCTACATATGTTTCATAATTTTGGTTACTTATTATGTTTGTAGATACATACATACATATATACAAATGTACATGTTTATCAGGAAATATTTTCTTGTCTTAAATCTTGATTGGAAGTCTCAACTTAATTTCACATAATATTTTAGATATTAAAATGTCTATATACATATTTACGTATAATATCTACATGTAATTTTTTGTTTTTAAAGTTAATATTTTCGTAAATTTTTAAATTTAAGCAAGGTCACTCACTTATACTTAAACAAAGGAAAGTCAAATTGTTGTTCATTAAATATTTTTGTTCTTGATTTTTGCAAGTGTTTGTAACTTTTTTTTTTTTTACTTGTCATTACTCATGAATTTTTTTTTAATAAGAAAGCTTGAATTTTTGTTAATACATCAATAGTTACTTTTTAAAATATGCATGTTTGCTAAATTTTTAGTCAGCAATATCAATAATTTATTTTTTGTTTACAAAGACACGTTTTGAAGGCAGTTGTGTTTAATTTTTTTTTAATAATACAGATACTAAATAGATAGACCTACATACCATCATAAATAATATAAAATATCTGCACGTTCATATTTTATGAAACAAGAAAATATACAATTAAGTTTTATAAAAAAATACTTGGATTTTCTTTTTGAACTAAAATCTAGTTTTTTTTTTTGATATGTAGCTGTGATACAAGCCAATAGATTAACTATTTCGTCATTGTTATTAATTATGTTCTGATACCTACAATATTCAAAAACTTGAATGACTAACTCATAGAATATAAATAGAAAATATTAAAAGGTGATATTGCAAAATTATAAACACACACTTGCTTGGTTTTTGATTTAGAAAATTTTTTTTTGCAAAAATAATTCTCCCATTACATTCATAGAAGAATGTAATGGTACCTATACAAAAAATATAGTTTTGAAAAGGTTACTCACTTAGAAATAGTTTGAGATCTAACGTAATTTAAGATTGACAATTAAGATTTTATGTTTTATTTTAAGTAGAATAATTATTTTACTAAATAATGTCGTTAGAATGTTTTAAAACAACTTACAATAAAAATAAACAAAGGATTACAAATAAAAAATTTTTTAATACATGTCCACCAGTATGCCTGAATGAAAAAATGTATTACCTTTGGCAAGTTTGTTGTAAACTAAATCTGCTTTTTATAAATTTAGTAAAAATTTTATAATATTAAAGTTAGTGGTCTCTAATATAAAAAAAAAATATTTTAAAGACTTTATTTTTCTCTCTTACAATTAGGTAATTGTAGAAAAGGCTCCAAAAGCCCGTATTGGTGATTTGGATAAGAAGAAATATTTAGTACCATCTGATTTAACGGTAGGTCAATTCTACTTCTTAATTCGTAAACGTATACATTTACGTCCTGAAGATGCACTTTTCTTCTTTGTGAACAATGTCATTCCACCAACATCAGCAACAATGGGATCTTTATATCAGGTAAATAAATATTAATATTTAAAAATATTAAAGAAAATTAATTTTATATCATTTAACTATTTTATTTTTTTTTTTCATTTCATTTTAAGGAACATCATGAGGAAGATTATTTCCTCTACATTGCATATTCCGATGAAAATGTATATGGTAAAATGTAATTTTTGTTAATAGTAGATTGAAGACAATTTTTCTAAAAGAAAGAAAAAAAACCTTTTTAAAATATGTATAAAATAATTATGTTCTTAATAATACAAGAAAGATAAAATACTATCATAAATTCTGTATTTTTTATTTCTACTATATTTTTGTTTTTTGTTTAACTTTTTGAAAACATTTAAATAGATCTTTTTCAAAAAAATTCACTTCAATTTTAAATGTTTATTTCTTTTAAGTAACACTATTAATTAATATGTTATGAACTTGCTAAAGTAATATTCAAAATTTAAATATTAATAGCTCTTGTAAATCTAAAATTTAAGAACTTTTAAATTGCAACTTTTTTATGCTGTTTTTTTATTTTAATTTTTTACTTGAATTAAAAAATGAAATTAATTCTTTGTGTTTACTTGTAGAAATTTTATATAATGGTTTTTTTTTTTTGATGAAATTAATATCAAGTTATATTTTTTTTTTGCTTTTTCTCAATTATTTTACTTATTGTTATTAAAAAAATTAATTCTTTAATTGTCACACAGCCACAAATGTAGAAAAAGTTTAATGTAATTTACTTTCTTAAAACTATTTTAGTATGGATTTTCTTCCTTCGCCTGTGTGATAATTAAATATTCTCAATTATTTACTAATTAAATTTGGTAAATCTAATATTTTTAAAGAAATGTTTGTTTTTTGAAAATCTACAGAATTAAACTTCAATACACTTTGAAAATTGTAAATAAGTTGCTAAAAATTTGCACATTACTTGTTTTTAAGAAAAAAAAAAGGAAATAATCGCTATTACAAAATTTATCGTAAATTATAAAATCAAAATAATGTATTTGAACTTCAAGAATTGGTAGTTTTCAATTAATTTTTGAAATAAAAAATAAATATAATATTGAATATCTATTTTGTATTATGGATAAACTTAAAATATATATATATTAATATATATACAAAATATATAAAAGAGAGAAATATTACCATTGGCTATCTTTACCTTTCAATGTTTGTGCAGCGAACAGAATATTAAAATATTAATAATTTAAAACTTCAAATGACGGTAGATTTATGAATAAATAATAAGGTACAATATTTTAAAGTAACAACTAGAGAGGACACTATACCAAAATAATAATAAAACACAATATAAAAATTTTTCTATAGTTGTGTTTCTCAAAATTTGCCGTCATTTAGAAGAATGAATTTAAATATTTTTAAATATCGCTGAAGTAAAGGCATATAATAATAAAAATTTTAATTTTTTGTAATTAGGCATTATTTTTAAAAATTGTATTAATTAAAAATGATACATGAAAATTTACTGTGTTTTTAAATTATAGGTATATGAAAATATATTATGTAAAATAAAAAAAAATCAATAAAAATTATAAAAACCAAAAAAAAAACTTTTATTTTAGTTCTTAATTGTAAATTTAAATCCTTAAATTTAAATTTTATTTTAGTTCTTAATTGCAAATTATAAAAAACCAAGTGTTATAAAAGATTTTGTCATATTTAAATAAAAAACTCAAAAAAGTGTTTATAGCTTTTTCATAATCGAGTAATATTATGAAGTAAATCAGCATCGTTACCTATTATTACCTAAAATTTAGTTTGCGATATACGTATATGCTATACCTACATATTAAATTTTTTTAAAAATCTGACAGAAAATCTTCTGATATGCAGATAAATTTTATTTTGGTCATCTGAATAAAGTATGACAATTTAATTACGATTTAAAAATAACGGAAAAAAAAGACAGAAAGAAATAATATCAGAAAATCGTTCCGAAACGAAAGATATCTTTCTGAAATGCAATCTTTGACTTGATTTCTATTAGATGATTAGAATATTTGTATGCATATACATAGATATACATATATTTAAATTGTAAAATTGCGATAGACCACAGTATAGAATTCGATTAAAAATCGATTACATTCAATCATCGATTTTAGTTGATAATAGCTATTGTTAGGGAATATTATAACAGTGACATTTGTTTATATTGAACATTGTAGTGATGGAGTTAAAAATCTATTGAGTGGAAACGTGTCCTAATTAACCATTAAATGGTCTAATGTGATGTACCGTTAGTTTATATAGTTTACCTATTGTGACCTATTTTTTTTTCGTATCAGTTTAAAAGAAGCAAAATTTGTTAAAAAGTGTAGAAAATTTAACATACTCATATTTATTAATCTGTTGATTAGTATAACTTTCACTCTTCCGTGTATTTAGTCGTTTTGAAATGGTAATGTTTTTCCAAACTAAAATGTTTCGAATTCGATATATTTTTAATGGACAACGTGAAACAACATATGAATAATTTTTCACATAAAATTTTAAATTTTAAAATGTCAATTACCATACGAAATTTAAAAAATAAAAACCTAAAATAAAGAAGTGAAAAGAAAATACGAATTTTCCCTACAAACCAAAATTTTTATTTTCTAGTTGGGTTAAGAGTGTTTAATAAACTTATGAATTTTTTTTTTTAAATTTTACGTAAAAATTATTTACAAATGAGTGACAACCCTGGTTACCTGATATTGTAAATTCACCAGCAAACGTAATGAAAAAGACAGTTTATGAAATGTCAGTGATTGTGTCAGTGTGGTGCAAGAAAGAAGTTTGTGTAAATTTTAATTTCTTTGCAAAAAAAAAAAAAAACTATGGCTTTTGATTGATATTTAAAATAATTTGATTGATAAGAATTTTGTAAATTAAATATTTGAAATATATATGAAATATTCAGATCTAAGTATTGGTTATATAAAATAAAAATTTAAGATTCCTTTTTTTTTTCTAATTTATTAAATCAATAAAAGAGTTTTTTTTTTGTGAAGCTACTAAAACGGGTTGGTGTATGTGTTTGTGAACTTGAGTGGTTCGATAAAAGTGAAAAGTTTTTAGCATTTTTGACAAAATAAAAGTTTCTGTATTGCAATATTAATTATTTAAAAGAAGATTTTCTAATAAATTTTGAAAACCATTCAAGTACATTAAGAAATTTTTATTTATTTTGTAGCCGGAGAAGTGCTTGCTCCCGTACAACAGCAGAATTTTAGGTAAGATTTACATTATGTACATACATGAAACATTTTTCTTTGAACAAAAACTAAATTAAATGTTTTCTGCTATGTACCTACTTTAAAGTAAAATTATACTAATCATACTAATTTGCCATTTCTTATTATTTTATTTTAGTTTAGTTTCTGTAATATTCACTGTAAATAATTAAATATGATACTACTTAAAAAATTATAAGCAACATACACCACATGAAATAAAAAATTTATTAAAATAGGAAAAAAAAATTTACACACTTTCTTCAATAAAATCAGGTGATTCAATTAAAACTAGTTAATTTTATTATCCTGGAAAGTGTTAACTCTTAGTCGTTATATTTATATATATAAAATAATTTGTGCGGCTATCACTTATATTGATATATCTAACGATTTATATATTTTTTTTTTTGTAAAGAATCAGAAAAAAATCGATAGATTTTAATCCAATATAAAACTATATAATGTGTTATGTGTTTACATAAAAGAATATTCTATTATATTATATTCTTGCAGGAATTTTGATATACATATACGATAAATGGATATAAGTTTAATATGTATACATATTCACACTATTAGAAAGGTATTTAAGTATACTTATATATACATATCTATATTTATGAATAAAAGATTATTCTATCAATCATCTTTCATTTTTTAATAAGTTTAAAATATCGTTTTGTTCTTGAATCAATTTAATTAAATTATTTTCAAAGAATGAAATAACTTCTGTTAGCATACATATTAATTGTTTAGTTTATATTTATTTATATAGCTAAAAACCATCATACCGTATATGATAGATCAGGGTATGCAGTATCATAATAACATTTTAAATTAAATTTATTTGGAAGGGAACGTAATGAATTTGAAAATATGAAAATAGAGCTAAAATAAAAGGTGGTAATATTTCTTTCAATAAATTATGAAAACCTGCATATCTACTTATTAATAACTAAAAAAATTACAATTTACTTCGTAAGGTATAGTTAGGTATACTTACAAAAAAGTTTACTTATAGATATCGATTATTTGACTTTTCCTTCAACGTTTAAATAAAATAAAATACATAAAATGGATATTTTATTTGAATGGGACATGAGTTCGTGGAATAGAACCGATTTATCATTTTAATTTGAAAAATTTTTTAAAATATTCTCGATTGTTTATTTATTTTTTTATATTTAATACCTTTATTAATTAATAAACGTAATGTAATTTACGCTTTCTGTGAAATTCTCAAATGTATTTGAAAAGTTTCAGAATATTATTATAAATCTAGTCTTTATAGTAGGTACCACTCAAAATAATTGTTATATATATAATGTTTTTGTTTAATTTCATTGTATATACTTACATATGTACATATAAATAAATATGTATAGCAAATCAATTTTTTCATTGTTATATATATATATAAATAAAATAGACTATTATGCATTGCTTAAGTTAATCATCTTCACGTAAGTAATCATTGCTTTTAAATTTAAAATTTGTGGTCAGTTAATTAGTAGGTTCACTGTAATAACAAGATATACAATTGTTTAATTTCCTTGTTTATCATTAAACCATTATTATTAAATTTTAAAATATTAGTAAAATTTATTCAATTGATTAGAATAAATATTAAAATTAATATTCGGACTTAATAGAAAAAATTGTTCGAATAACACTTCTTCCAAACGTCGGTATTTCTTTTTAAAAAGACACAGTTTTAACACCTTATGAGTAATGGGTTAAATTTATTGTTAATGAAAAAGGTAAATAGCTTTGAAATAGCTTTTATTTTGTAATGTTTCTTTAAATATACTCTAATTTCATAATTAATTGAAATTAAAACATTTTTTTTACCTTATCTTGTTTCCTTCTTTGCTTTTTATTAGTTAAATTCATAAAAGATTTCTTATATTTTAAAAAACAAGAAAATAATATTTTCTACTCAGGTTTAAATTCAGTTTGGAAATATTACAAATCTTTATCTCGATACCCGTAAATATTCATACATTTACTTAATAATAATAAGTTGGTACCTACTAACCAAAAAATATTTTTTATCATTAAAAAATCCAAAAATAAATTTAATATTTTCAGGAAAAAGAAAAATTCTTAATTTGTAAAAGGAATTCTTAAAAATTTCATGTTTTTCAAAATACATTTGCAACAGTAGTTTTTAGTATAAAATTATTTATATATTTTCATTTAATAAATAGGAGCCTTGAATCTTTAACTTAAATAATGCAAAATTTATTTGCAAAAGGTAGTGTAATAATTTATCGATTTAAGTACGAATTTTTTTTTATTTTATATTACAGTTTTTCTTTTGTATTACTTACTTAAAAATTTTATATAAGTATGTATGGTAATTTTATTTTATTTGAAGTAAAAATATAAGTATAATTAAGAGAAATATAAGTACTTAATGTGTATTTATATATTTATAAAATAAAAATTATTATTTTAGAAAAAAAAAAAATATAAATTTAATTCTAATGTTTTATCCGATACATATATATATATACTTTTTTAAGATATGCCATCCAGACGCCGAATTCGTCATGCATCTACAAATAATACACCTCAGGTATTATTGAATAATAACAACAGTACCAGCGCGACTAATTCAAAGAATATATCATTTCAATCTGGTGGTGGTTTTAACAATAATTATAATACTAATAATTCTAGTCAATCATCTTCATCATCCCATAATTCATCTTTTTCCAATAATAATAATAATAATAAAAACAGTAATAACAGCAATAGTAGTAATTATTATTTTACTAAATCTGATAATACTAACACAATTACAAATAATGATGCTAATTTATCATCACATATTAATCACATAAATAATAATTTAAATACAAATAATAATTATAATATAAATAATAATAATAATAGTAATATTAATAATGGTAAGAATATTATTTTAAATAATAATTTAAAACAACACAATAATTCACTTTCAAATGGTGGTGGTGGTGGTGGTGGTGATGGTTTAACAGAAAAACAAATTCGTAATGCTTATTTGTCGACATTAACTAAAGAGCAATTAAAAATTGAATGTAGAAAACGCGGACAAAAAACAAATGGAAATCGCACTGAATTGGTAACTATTAATATTTAGAACATGGAAAAAAAGTAATTGTTTTTTTTTTTTTTTCTTTTATTAATTTTATTCTCTACACTTAAACAAAGAAGTAGAATATATTTTTTCTTTTATTTGATACTTTTTTATACACTTGTCCACATTTTAAGCATGTGCATAAATTTTTTTATAAATTTCATTTCAAATTTACATACTTTTTATAAATTACAATTTTATTTATTCAGTTTTAAAAATGCGGGCTTTTATTGAAGAAAATTTTTCTCTGATCCTATTTTGGTACCACATAAGTTATAAGACTAGTTTTTCTTTGTTTTATATTTTACATTTGTGCTTTTCAGTTTTTATATAAATATATTTTTAAAATTTTAAGTTTGAAATATTCAAAATTTGGGTTTACTTTTAAAATTTTTATAGTAGTAAGTACAAAATTTGAAAATCTTACTATATTGTATGCAGAAGCAATTGAATTGAAATACTTATACCGATTATAATGATTATTTATCCGAAAAAAAAAACTATTTAAACGCATGTTGACTGTCCTTCCTAGGTTATCAATCTTAGTTTTTTTTACGTTTTAGTTTTTTTTATACATAGTAATCGTTACCATATTTTAAGTATATATTTGATATACTGACTGGATTTGATGTTGTTATAAATATTACTTAATTTTTAAAATTATTTCGGTTTTTGCAAGATTGAAATTATAATACGTAAGTACTTAAGGCATATCTAAAATCTTAGACGGTAAATTATAAGGACTTTTATGAAATTTGATCTATATTATATACATATATAAATTTTTAGTCTCATTATATAAAATTCATAAAATATTTTATGATTTTTAATAAAATAGCTATGTAAATTTATTAACTTTCAATATTGAATTTTCAAAAATATATTGAATTTTGAAGATTTTTAATTTCTTTAAACTTATTTAGTTGATAAGAGTTGATTTTGATTTATTCCAGTCGCAATATACATACGTCTTAAAAATATTGTTGTTCGTAAGTTTTTTATTAGACAAGGTGTTGACAATTGATGTTATTTAAAAACTAGCGATTTTTATGTCTCTTTTAAAAGTCAAATCGAATTGTTTATAAGTATGGGGTTGTGAAATCGTGTTCAAAGAAGAATTCTTTGATTTAATTATTCTAAAGATACTTGTGTTTGGAAATGCAGCTGAAAATAGCACATTTACGAGTATATTGTTTTCATTTCAATTTCATTTCAATTATTGTACTTAAAATAATGTTTTTAATTAAAAAAAAAAAAGTAATATAAAAAAAAAAAACAAAAATTGTAAAATCAAGTGTGGAATATTGTTTGCTTCCCTGTTAAATGAAACGTTCTTCAGTTCTCCTTTTCTTTTGATTTGATATTATATTTGTGTTTGTTCGATATTTAAGAGTACAAATAAAGTTTTGTAGATCAAAACCTATTATTTTCAATAAAAAAATGTTATAAACCGAATTAAATTCTGAGTTTATAAAATATTTTTAATTATTTTATATGTAAACAATTGAATAAAATTAAAAAGAATATTTATTTCTTATTCTATGCGATTATTGTTTACTGTAAGATTTAAAATTCTCAATTTTTTGTACATAAAAATGTATTTGTATATATGTATATACGTCTTATAATTAAAACAATAAAATTTGTATTCTTTTAATGGGTGTGTACAAGGTGATTCTGTAAAGAACACAATGTTATATATCGTCATTTAATTTATGGCATCGAAAAGTGATAAAATTTTTGAAATCTCAACGATTTCCAAGATACAGGAAATTTCATTCAAATTTTTCACGAAATTTCTATTTGCCCAAGCTATTTTGCTTATAATTTCCCTTCTGAAATGAATAAAAGATGTATATTGTATTCTTTATTGAATCACCCTGTACTCATATATACATATGTATGTACTTAAATATACAAGTACACTCATATTGTGTTTATTCAAAATATTTATGTTATTATATTTTTATATGAATGTTTATATAAAACTAACATTTTCAATTTATTTATTAAAAAAACATTGACCTTAAATATATAATTATGTTTAGTTGCTTTTATAATACATTCAAAGGTATAATTTTTCAATCTAGCATTTAAAAACGACAAAAACAACAAAAAAGAAATGTGTAATTTTATAATTTGGCTTAAACATTTTTTATAAATTTAGAAATAAATTTTGTAATTTTAATTTATTTTCTAATATTAAATATTTTTTGGCAAGATATTTTGCCAAAAAAAATATTACCAAATAATATTTTATTATATTAAAATATGTTTAGATTTTTATAATTAACGGGATTATTAATTTATGAATGTGTTTTGTAATTAAATGTTACATACATGTATGTATGTGCTACAACAGAATATAAACGTATTTATAATGACGTTATAATGATTTGTATAAAATGTATTTATACTAATATAAATTAAATCAGATCTAAGTAGTTTATTTGCTGTAACAGTGAGTAATATCAGTGTTGCATGAAGCAAGCAAAGTATTTTGTTTAAGTAGGCGCAATTTAAACACAAAGAAATTAATTTTTACAGGTTCTTCAACTATTTTCCTTAATAAGTCAATAATGTTTAACATTTTAATGATTATTTTAATAGTTATTCTATTAAGTAATTTATGAAAGATGAAAGTTTTACCCCCCAAAATTTTTGATCTACAATATTTTAATGCAATTTAATTTATTTAAATTAAATCAATATTATCAATAAATTATGGGATACGATCGTAAAGATATTAAGTTACAAATATAAAATTTTAAAAACTCTTAAAATTATTTTGTTGTTTCATTGAAAGTAAAATTGACGGCATGAATTGAAGGTTAAAAAACCTTACCTTTGTAATTATTGTTTTTTTTTTTTCTTTTTGTAAACAACTTACAAATTAAAGCTTAAGCAAGAAAAAAAGAAAGTAATTTTTACTTTTGTACGTGTACATGTTTTTTTTTTAAATTTATTTAAAAATATGGAAAAGGAAAGAAAAAATTTAACAAGGTAGTTTGTGATTTGAATTCGAATATGGCTTAATCTTTTATATATGAAAATGACTTAAAAGTAAAAACAAAAAATAATGATTTTTTTTTTTTTGTTGAGGTAGCATAATTTTACATTTTGCATAAGAATACAATGCTTTTTTTTTTCAAATTCTGTAATATTTATGTTTCTGGTTTTTAGTTGATGATTGATGTACACGTATGGAAAGTTGCAAGTGAAATATAACACGTCAACTTATATTTTTGCTTTTTTTATTTTGTTTGTTTATGTATGTATGAGTATTGCATATTATAACGTGACAAATAATTTTAATATTGGTGTTTTAACCTTTATAGTTTGGCGCATGCTTTATCCATGTCGGCTTTGTTTAGAATGTGCAGCAATTAAACAATTTATTTGGTTTTTAAAACTAGGTTAAAGTTACATAATATTTTGTAATATAATATTAAGATTTTGAATAAATTCAAGAATTAATATATAATTATAAAGTATTAAAGACTTTAGTATATCAATATTATTCTTTTATTCTAGTATTAAAGATAACTATAATATTATAAATCAGATTTCGTCAGTTTCTAGTCTCTTTCCTGACATTAATTAATTAAAAAATATTTTATATTTTGTAAATTAAAAAAAATAATTCATAAGAGTTCAGACCCGATTCTATTGTTGATCTTAAATTGAAAATGTTGTTTTAGTATAGAAAAAGGAAATTATGATCGTCTATGTTTTGTAATTTAAAAATTAATATTTAATTATTTTTTTTTTTTATAATTGTCTTCTATTTTAATTTCGTTCTGCTTTTGACATACAATGTGATTAACATTTACATTTATTTTTTTTACGAAATAAATGCCAACTATTATTAAAGCTAAATATGTTAATGAATTGATTGATTAGCCGCTTGTTAACGTTGAATACAATGGAATTTGGCATTGCATTTTTTATATATATGTAAATGAAAAAAAAAATTTAGATTTACAACATATTATAAGGGTGGCATTTATTTATATTTTTAGAAATTTTTTTTTAAATTTTTGATTAAATATTTAATGTACTATTGATTCTGTACCAAAAATAACATCCAAATAAATTTAAGTCCAGAAATTAATGATATTTTAAAATTTTGTTAATTCTATACTTTAATTGTATGTTTTGAATTTTGATTTAAACTTATTAAATTTAAACAAAATTGTTTCTAATAAGACGTACTCAAATTCAGTACCTGCTTCAGTTTAAAACAACATAAATATAATATTATGTCAGGTTTCGTCAGCTTACTTATAAGCTTTATAATGGATACTTAGATCATTTTGATAATCTGAAAAATATCCATTATCTGCTTACCCTTTATTGTATAAATTAATATGATGTCCTAGTCTTAATTGTCAATTATATATTTTTGATTATAAGGGGAATTTTGAACAAGTTCTTAATTTCTAAAAGATACAACAAAATATTTTATTATATTCTCTTATATTTTTATGTTTCTTTTAGATTAACCAATTTATTTTTATTAATTATTTTTAGATTCATGTTTATTTAATGTACTTAAACATCATTTGGCGGTTATTTTGCAAATTGTACTTCCCCTTTTCTTGTTCGTTTTTATAACATATTATAGGCAGATGAATTTTCAAAATGTAAGATTATAATATATACTTACATACATATATATTTTCGAAAAATTTTTGTATACAATTATGTAATTTAACAAAATAATATTATATATGAGTGTAAAATAATAAAAATGTAAAAGATCGTAATACTTAATAGGACTATAGAAATTTGTAGAAATAGGAAGCATAAATTGATCTTGTATTTATTTTTCAGTTGGTACACTATAATTAGTGTAAATACTATTACTTACGAATTAACACTAATTGAAGATAAATTTGATAAGAAACTTTGTACAAATACAAAATATGAATAGCCCTTAATTTTATTTTACAAATTCTTTTTTAATTCCTTTTCATTATTTT